GGTAGATTTGTGGAACCTCTTCTATAGAAGAGGTTAGAACTGTCAGGAACCCCACCCCTGCCAAGAAGCATCTAATTGGCCACAAAGAGCATCCATGTGTATGTGCCTGTGTGCAAATTTGTATAATTTCTACCCCATCACAAGCTAAATAATCTATCCAGTGCTTTTAAAAAAAAACACAAGATATACAAAATTACAAAATCTAAAATGCAATATCTAAAAATACAATATCTAAAAGAACTAAAACCCACTAGCAACAATTCAGACTGTTTCATACCACCCCCTTTCAGAAAAGCCCAACTTCTTCCAGAAGGCACATGGAGTTAGAACCACGGGGAAATATTAACCAGGTACTTGGTGCTGAGCTTTTGAAGTCAAAAGTCATTCATTTTATTTATTTCATTTGTTTTTCCAGAAAAGTAACTCCACAAGTGGCCACAAGAGGATGATAAAGTAACATAATGTACAGTGTATCCTAATGTTGTTCTGTTCTGTTAGGGATATTGTGCAGTATGTATTACTTTACACCCTCATGTGGCCACTGATAGTACTACTTTTTATTATTATTTTTTAATGGAAAGGAAGGTAAAGGTAAAGGTTCCCCTTGCACATACGTGCTAGTTGTTCCTGACTCTAGGGGGCAGTCCTCATCTCCATTACAAATCCGATGAGCTAGCGCTGTCCGAAGACCCCTCCGTGGTCATGTGGCTTGCATGACTAAACGTGAAAGGCACACGGAGCGCTGTTACCTTCCCACCAAAGGTGGCCCCTATTTTTCTACTTGCATTTTTACATGCTTTCGAACTGCTAGGTTGGCAGAAACTGGGACAAGTAATGGGAGCTCACTCCATTATGCAGTGCTAGGGATTCGAACCGCCTAACTGCCGACTTTTCTGATCGACGAGCTCAGCGACTTAGCCACTGATCCACCGTCTCCCATATTGGAAACATAAGTAAGTTTCAAATGCTTTTTTTTATGAAATGGCCAAAAAGATATTTTTTCAACCTGAGATTACACAGAGACTGGCAGAACGTAAATACATGTTTTGGGTTCATGATGCTGTGGGGTTCTATTAAAAGCACAATAAACTTTTTTTCCAAGACAGGTTTCAGCCTGAACAGTGGGTGGGACCTTGTAAACCACATACTAATAAGATTTTAGTTTTTTTAAATGTAAACTGGCTGAGTACCCTTTGCGGAAATTGTGCTGCCATGTCTTGTTTTCAGACAGAAGATTGCAACAGTAATTCTTAGTACAAGTAAGAGTCGGTCTTGGTTACTGCATTGACTGCCTAATGGGCTAATTTGTGAAGGACAGGGAGTCACAGAATGTCATTCAAGAGAAGTATTAACAGAATAACAGTCAGAAATGGTATAGGACCGGGATGGTGAACCTATGGGACACATGCCACTGGTGGCACGCGGAGCCATTTGTCAGGGCATGAGAGGCATTGCATTGTCAGCTGGGCAGCGCGCATGTGCGCGTTGGTCAGCTGAGTTCAGCCTTTTTTTAAGCCTTTTTTCGCCCTCCCCAGGCTTAATAGGAGCCTGGGGAGG